TTTTCCCCAGTTAGTAAAAACTAACAAAATCACATCATCCGGAATCTTCCCGTATATCTCTTCCCATGCTTGTAAATCACTCGGTGTCAACTGGGCGTCAGCGTTCTATGGCAAAACAAACAAACAAACAAACAAACAAACAAACAACAAAAATTGAGGTCCAGAGTTGTCTCTGGAACCAAGATCTGGGAAGCGCAATTCAACGCAAAATATCGAAAACACAAAGAAAACAAACTGAAGAGGCTGAGACATGAGCACTGTCCTAACGTCTGTGGCAGTTCTTGGTCTGGAGCGACCCAATCTCGAACACCGTCCCAATGTAAACAGAAGTGGTCGTTATTAAAATTATTTAATATATGTTTTTAACAGTTGATGTATAACTGTCCTCGTTCTCTTATTGGAGGTGCCTGCTGCAGATAAAGCGAGTGTATTTTACACCTTGGCCACTGTCGGTTGATTACAAGGCGTCCCTTTGATAAAGGGCAAGAGCACATTCTACTTAGTATTTTGCCCGTTTATTGATTGCAGAATAAATTTTACCTCGGCAGCTTTGGAGGATATATCTATCTTAATTGCAGGTCCAATGAGGCGATCTAGTGGGATTTCATCTGTTGACCATTTCCCCTTAGCGTAATGCCTCGGCGCATCTAGATGAGTGCCTCCATGTTCAGGAGCGCTAATGACAGACATGAAGAGGTAATATCCATCTGACGTATAGTTATCAAATGTTGTGGTAAGCTTGAAAGTTGGATCTCCCGGCCAATAGATAGTCTCGTTGTTAAATGGGTAGGTCAGCTCAATCCATGATGACCCTAGTGGCCTTCCAAGAAGCCTCGGAACTAAAGCGAATGCACACAACGCTAATCTCACCACAATGGTTCTCATGTTTCCTGGCTGAGAAATTGAATACAATTTAGATGATTTATATCCATAAGGAATAGAGCAATTTCTATATTACTATGCAGCTGTCAATAAAAAACCCAATAGTGACAACCAGACAACTGGAACTTGCAGGAATGGGGTCTCATTTACACCCCATGACGCGAGAAATTCGACAGTAGTCATTGACACTTGCTGCAACTGCGTATGAAATGTTGAGTTATGTCTGGTAGACGCTGCACTGCTATTATTAAACGCCTTAAGAACAATGATAGGAAATTAATTTCCAATATTTGGTGAACCCCATTGAATTTATGAGAGGGAAGCAAGAATGTGAGGGATAACCTCCACCGCCTCCCTGAAATCTACCTTGACTGTCGCCTTTTGCGACACAAGAGACGAAATATACAGGAAACACAGTTGTGCAGTAAGGAATTAGGCTTTGTACACTATGCTTTAATTTCATAACTAAAATGCTCCACCTTGTTGCTCCAATTTTCTGACTAAAATACTCGGTCTCCTCCCTCCCCCACTCCCCCAAAAGTCACTAAAATGCTCGGTTAATGCTCATACATAGGGTGTTTTATCACAAAGGTGACTAACCAAATATGGCCGCCGTTAATTTGATTTGACTACCGCTACCTCTCCTCAGTCTCTACTCGGCTGTATTACTGTGGCATTTGAATTTTTGTCAATTTCGAGTTAAAGCCTTCATTTTCTGGTAAAAAAAAAAATTTGTTTATATTTTCTGTGGAAAAAAAATTCCCGGTAAATGCCACTAAAATGCTCGAATAATGCTTAATGCTTTTGCCTCACAAAAATGCTCGAAAAACTGCTAGCATAATGTACAAAAGCCTATAAGGAATACAAAGACCTATACTAAAGCACGTGTTGTACGTGATAATTAGAGATAATCCGACCGGGACCGGCTAAGTCTCAGTGTTCATGATACTAACTGTTTTGTTTTGATTCCACACGTGTTGCAACCAAGCGCACAACAGCTGATCTATTGAAATGCAAAGTGAGTACTGGATAAGAACACGTGCTCAATATCTATTGTGGTGAAGATATAAATATGATTGAACCCAGCAACAACAATGAAAGTGTGTGATGTAGCTACAGACAGGGAAAGAAACAATATATAATTTTAGCAAGTGGTATGTGAAAGTCAGTTTCAGTCATTTGCGAATCAAACTTGACTCGAAATTTCCCATAAGAAGTCGAGAGTGAAACAGAAAATTTATTCTTAATTAAGGAAAATTGCTAATAGCTTCCCTAACCAGTACATTAATGCAAAAGAACAACTGGGCATAGGCGAATTCTGATAATCAAAATCAGCCCTTGACAACACATCATATCTGCATGACTTGGTGTGCACTTCAAGGGCTTCCAGCGTGGCGCTTATTCACTCTAGGTTAACAACGATTTTAAATAAAGCAAATATATTTCCGAAAAAAAAGAAAGAAATAAAATAAAGGTTTTGGTAAACTGTTATTGAGATATACACCCTATACGTTTTCTATTATTTAGTCAGAACATCATGTCAAAAACCGAATTCTTCCTGGAGCGTACCGTTTACCTCACCATTAAACAACAAACACCCAGCACGAATTCCTAAAGGGAAAATGGTGAGTCGCAAGGATTGTTCTTGATTGCTATTTCTGTATTGGGCCCTGGGCTATACATAAAACCACCGCTGCGATTCTTCCTTTCGTCCATGAATGGACGGCGGCTCAATAAAGTTACATCACAAGAGAAAACGACATCTATACGTACTTGCTCTTCAAAAATGTGTTTGACTGGTTCACATTGCTCGTTAACTGTTCGTTGGGTCTATTAACAATAACTTCAAAGTTGCGTGTAATTTTCGTAAATGTACGTCTGTGAAAATTACAAAATGTTTTAATCGCACTGAGCAAGCAGCGAAAAAATTAAACTTGAAACGACCGAGTGAAACTTTCACACGAACAAACTTGAATTAAGACATGGATATCAAACTGCTGCCTCCTTTTTTTCCAACAGAATTTGTAGACAAAACTTACCTTCAGTTGGTGAATAGTGAATCGATCAGCTAACACTGTTTAGTTTAGGTGGTTTTGAGGTATGACTCCAGCTTAAAATAGACTGTAATTTATGCACAGAAATATATATCGGCCAGCGTGCTTTTAAGTACATATAAATAGGTTACGACTGAAACAAAGCCGAACACACTCTGACCTGATATCTTAATACAAAACTTATAAACAAGCATTTTGAATGGAGGAGTTCTATAGAAAAATAAGAGATCAATATCTTTTGAGGAGTTGAATCAAGTGACTGATCAATAATTTTAGCCCAACTGCAAAGCGCTCAATTCTACGTTTGACAGTAACCAAACGTGTGTGAAACGATATCAAATAATGAATAATTTTATACGTGTATACTCGTAGACAACAGCGACATTGTTCCCGGAAGTTACTTTAGGAAAGCATACGAAGTGTCAAAACTGAGACAGGAGAAGTCTAAAAAGTAAGTTTAGTCGTTTTTTGTTTTAGTTTCAAACGCTAGTACTTACAAAGCCGCGCTCTCTATTGAGTCTATTGGGATTCCGTGTTTTATTTAAGCAATAGACCGCTCTTTCTATGGGTTTACTGGCGCAATAAACCACGCGGGATGTTGGGAGAACACGAGAAAAGCTTGCAAATCACGAGCCGTTAGGCAAGTTATTTTCAAGCTTTTCGAGCGTTCTCCCAACATCCGAAATGGTTTATTGCGCCGGTAAACCCATAGAAAGAGTTGTCTATCGCTTTTATGAATGACTATGGAAAAAGTCTGTCAATGAAAGGAAAATTTATTGTGCTTTTGGGATCAAGTTGCTTATTCTCATCAAATTCATGAGATGACGCGACAAACCAATCACAGTGACCGAAAGAATGAAAACACAGACTCCGCGCCGGACTCGAAATCCGCAGAGCAAAGCGACGAAAACATTTCACGCTAAGAAATTTTTAAGAAATGAAAGGAAAAGGTTATCGGTAAAAGACAAAAAGCATATTAATTAACTCAAAAGTATTCTGACGGGGAAATGTAAGGATTCGTAAGTGGAAGGCTGTACGAAAAGTGTGTAAGTAGTCCAAACTTCATGTACTTGGCGAAACGATTTAACGCAGTGTTTGATGATAACTTTCCAAAGTTTTGTGGATGAAATAAAGGTTAGTAACAGAAACGCTGCTTCCGAAATTTATTCAGAATTTATTTACTTATGCTGAAGGCTAGGAAGTCCGTGTTTCTCTCCGTGTTTTGCTAAATGAAAACTTGCTTGAAAGCTTGAAAGTTTGAAAGCTAAGCTTATGGAAACCAAATTCATTTATCGTGTTATGCATGCATGCGTTGAGTTTAACCTCAAAATGTCTGATAGAAAGAAATCTTTTCCCTTCTTTTTGACGACCCAAATTGATCAGTCAAGCCCAGCTGACTTCGTCCTCCACAGACCGTGGAAAGCACCGAAATAAGTGTTTAAAGCGTAACCGGAGTCTGCGTAAAAGTTTTCCCGTGGAAAAAAAAAATAAAAAAGCTTTATATGACGACCAACTTCTGGTCCTGTTTTTCCTTGCAAATTTCCATGTATATGTTGAATGAAAAGATATTCGTGTTATTGATATCTCAGCCAGTGAAAGGCAAAACTGTTTATTACATTTGTTATCGCTAGAGTTCCGAGTTCTCTAGTTCCTGCCTAGAGCTGCCATAGATCATTTCCTTTCCTAGGGAAAATGTAAAGATAGGTACCCCATTGGGGAGGAACCTCCTAGTTAATACCCATTCCGGCTGGGGAGTATATTCCAGAGTTCTCTTTGTTTTTGTTCAGTTCAGTTTGTTCTACGCAGCACAACTGTCCGTTAGAAACTAGTAAAACTGACGAATGAAAACAAACAACAAGCAAAAAAAACAAAAACAAAAACGAAAACGAAAACGAAAACAAAAACGAAAACAAAAACAAAAACAAAAACAAAAACAAAAACAAAAACAAAAACAAAAACAAAAACAAAAACAAAAACAAAAACAAAAACAAAAACAAAAACAAAAACAAAAAACAATTAAACAAACAAAAAAAACAAAAAAAATTACTTGCACTCGACGGTGGCTTTGGCTGTGACTTTTAACAGAAAGTACGTTTTAATATGAAGCTTAATTGATTCATTCATAGCGCGTCTCTCACAAGAAATTCATAACACCCGTAAGCGGGTTACACAAACATTACATAAGTTTATTAGATATCAAGCACAGTCCAAAAGGGCGAACACCCTACATGGTCCACCACTCCCTCCACTGATGAACATTGGCGCAGCGTACACCGTGAAACCTTTAGCGGGCAGCCGATCCATATTGGCGACATTTTCCAACCCAGGGATGTTTTCGTTGTTGAGAATTTGATGAGATTCAAACATCTTTGTTTGCCCGTAATCAAGTGACGCTGTGTCTATTCCCACAAGCTTTAGGCTTCGATTTTTGACCAACCAGCGTGAGGCGTTAGCGTGTATACCTGCAAAAAAAAATCAGTACCTTTAAACAGGAATATCGATGTCTCGTATAGAAACCTCTCACTGCAGTGCCGCGCTCAGATATAGTGAGAATGTGGTAAGTTTTCCTAACATGCAAAGAATATTTTATTTTGGTATTGGCTGTCGTAAAATGGCAAGATCGTTCTACCTCACACTGTGGCCAGTTTAATATTATACTGGCCGGAAAATTGGTAGAGAAAACACATAATGCCTGGATGATCGAAATCTGGGAGAGAAAAGTTAGTATCCTATCAAGGGTTAAAAGTTACACCCTAATGAGGCTCGGAAACATCCTCCCCCTCCCCCTAACCAGTGCAAAAAAAAAAAAAAAAAAAAAANCTCGAAATCTATTACCCATAGAAATGGAGAGCAAAAAATCTAATTGTTTAAGTATAAATCTACTAGTCGGTCAAAACTTTATCTAAATCCTTTTCACAGACACTTCGAAAACACAAAGAATCGACCGTCATTTTGGTAATACGCGCACACTGCTACGCTGCTTACTATCTACAACAGAATAGATAGTGAGGAGAGTAGCCAATCAGCAAACTGCATTCGTCATAGAAGGCTAGTAGATTTATACTAATCTGTGATAGATAATGAGTAGCTGAACACATTTTCACTCATTTCTTTGTTGTTTCGATTTATGTTGCCATCATACACTACTATTTAATATTTGTCAGAAATCACTGTGAATCAGCAAAGTGGTTTCCTCATTTTCGCACCTGGAAAATGCAGCAAGCTTAAGTCATCTGTATCAGTTCCGAGGTACTTTTTCTTGTCTGGCCAATGTCTTCCCCAATTACTGAACACCAGCACTATTACATCATCTGGAATCTTTCCGTGCTTTCTCTCCCAGGCCTCCAAATCACTCGGCATCAACTGGGCATCAGGATTCTTGATAACATTAAAAGAACGAATACATTAATTTTATCGTGGCACCAGCATGTTAGAAAACTTGGATGTCCGTGCAAACTCTTGCCTCAAAGATTATGACGTATCGGCCACGAGACGCCAAGCGACTCTTAACTGACCTTACCTCTTTTGCGACTACAGGCGACATGTGATTTGAAACACACACGTGTCATCTATCGTATTTCGGTATTTTATGTATTGTATAAGTTTGCCAACAATATATTGCGCCCGTTTCTCTCGGGTACAAACTTATCAGTACATAGCGGTTTTCCACATCGCCAAGTCTTGGACGTTTTACATCTATCGGGATTCTCTGCAGGCGCGTCTCATCATGACAAACTGGGCACTGGACTTTTAAAAAGTAGTAAAACCTTATCATGAAAGGGGACAGAATGGTTTTGAATATGATATAATTTGAAGCGTAAAACAAAACATCATTATGCTTGAATACGTTTCTTTACCAATCAACTTTTCAACAAAATTACATCTACCTCGGCAGCTTTGGAAGATATGTCTATCTTAATTGCAGGTCCAATGAGGCGATCAAGAGGAATTTCATCTGCTGTCCATTTTCCCTCGCCAAAATGACTCGGCGCATCTAAGTGAGTGCCGCCATGTTCAGCACCACTTATGTCATATTTTGAGACGTAAAAACCATCATCAGTAAAGCCATCAAATACTTTAGTATGCTTGAATGTCAGTGAAGTAGGCCAATAAATGGTCTCATTATTAAATGGATACGATAGCTCAACCCATTCTTGCTTGAGTGGACCTCCCAGCACTGGGAACCAAAACAATGCACTCAATACTAGCTTTATCAGTGTTGCCATGGTTCCTGTCGAGATAACGAATGAAAATGAGTTACTGCGACCTCAAAGATGTTATTGGCCACATGCTGCCTTAGTGGGTTTTTTTTTTTTTTTTTTTTTTT